GTGCAACAACAAGCACCGTATTTCGCAGGTGCATATCCCATATGCAGCCAAGCTTCTGTTCCAAGAGCTGGCCTCGATGAACATTGCCGCTCGCATGTTTACCAACCGGTCTGGAGTGTCCGTGCGGTGAGAGAGAACAAGGAATACCATCCATGTATATCAGTTGAATTTCTTTTTCTTTTCTTTTTTTTCCCCCTCTCTCTTCTCACCCCCGCCTCTCTATATCATGATAATTCCCTTTCTTGTCTTCCGGTGTTTTTTTTTTCCCTTTTTTTCTTTTTATTTTTTCCCCATTGAATTTGCTTCCCATCCTTCTCCACCATCAAAATCTGCGATATTAACCGAAGACCCGACTGATTCGGCATTTTCCGGCGTACAAAGGATCTGAGGGTTGTGATTCCTTTTTTGTTTGTTTGTTCTTTTTTTTTCTTGGCGGATGATGATGAGTGAGCAGCGAAGGGGTTGGGATTACGATATACTTTGCTGTACTTGACTGAATAAAGGGTGGCATTGGAGCCGAATCAATAATCAGCCGTGTTGGTGTAGGTGAAGGATGTGTGTGCCCATGGCATGCACGTCTGCATATTCCCCCTCTTCGTCATGCAGTCCCCCCCACCCGGACTGTCCGTGATAATGAAGACGGGTGTAGTGGTAGGTGAGAGGCATTGAGGCATCCACCAGTGAGGGAGCAGACTTTGACCCTCTATAAGTCTATTCTGGGCCTCCCCTCCTCGGTCTGGTGAACTTTAACTTCCATGTTGTGAATGATGGGTGACGATAGTGCAGAGGAGGGTGATGTAGGAGAATGTTATAGGTTGATATAGGTTGGAGAGGCTGGCAGTGGTTGCTGGCTGGGCGGCAAGCAATGGCTTCTGTATGGCTGAAGGCTCGGAGACGGCCTGGCGGCGCAGGCCAATCGAACCCTGGACTTACCCGCTGCTGGGGTGTGACAGAGTGACCGTGGACGGTGGACGGTCTGCAAACCCACCTGCACCAGGCACGGTCGCTATTCCTAGTGCAGGTAATTACCTACCTCCTCCAGGAGGCTACCTACCTACTCAGTACTGAGTACGGAGTAATGAGTACAGGTATTGTCCACCCACCACCACCTTTCATGTGGACGACTCCTCCCTCATAAAAGAGCCTTCTTACCCGCCGGGCCCTCGTTGGCCTTCCCCTTCTTTTCCCTTTCTTCTTTTCTTTCTTCAGCAAGCTAGTCTTGTCTGTTCTGCCTGTGGTTTTGGAAGTATCTTGTGCACTGGTTGCACTTGCTTGTTTGTTGTTTCTTCATCTTCATCTTCATCTTCATCTTCATCTTCATCTTCATCTTCATCTTCATCTTCATCTTCATTTTATACTTCCCTTAATATCATCCACCTACCAAAACAAAAAAAACCCATAACCATCTGAGAGCTGTGCTCCTGGATGTTCCCTTGTTGTCTTGCTTCAATTCGCACAGGATACTTCTAAACTGTACAAACTTCCAACGGTTCAATACATTGTCGCCGGTCGACAATAGTGTTTGTTCCCGATTTGCTTCCAGCTCAGACAAACTTGCTCGCCTTACAACTTAATCTTCTTTCTGCCTTTTTTTACGTGTCGAGGACTGGATCCCCGTCAAGCTTAACGCTTTGTTGTCTTGCACAGCCAACGAACCAACCGCTCAGCAATCCGCCGCAGCACGAGGCTGAATCGAATTGACTCTGGCAGTCACTTCGCCCCAACAACATTAGCATCGCCATCGTCGACACGATCATTTATTATATTCCTTTCTACCATAATCTAATCTTCTAGTATAATTCTGGTTCGAGTCAATTGCATACTATCGCCATAATGTCGTCCGTTCAGCTCAAGTTCTCTCTTCGGACCTCCTCCAATGTCAAGACCGTCCACCTGGTCGGTTCGTGGGACAACTACTCCCGCCAGATCCCCCTCTCGCGCGATGAGAACAAGTCCGGCTCGTGGGTGGGCAAGTTCCGCTTCCAGACTTCCATGCTCAAGTTGGGTGGCCGGTACTGGTACTACGTCGGTGATCCTGCTTCCTTCTCTTCTAATGACACACCTTACTAACTCACTACAGTATATCATGGATGGCTATCACGTCTCCCATGACCCTGCTGTTGAATATACGGTGGAGCCCACCACTGGCCGCAAACTCAACATCCTGGATGTTCCCGGCGGCAAGTCCTCCAGCTCTTCCTCAGCCCCCAGCAAGAGCCACCGTCGGACTTCGGCGGCCTCGGAAGTGGTCAAGGGCCGGGCTCTCTCGCCATCCAAGATCCAGCACCCCAAGCCCTCCAAGCCCTACGCCTCTCGCCAGATCCGGGAGACCGACTTTGTCGGTGGGCCTCCCACCATGGACGATCTGACCCGGCGGTTTGCGGGATCCCGTCTCTCGGACGAGTACTCCCTCTCCAACAGCCCTCCCAGCTCTGCGGGCAGCTCGCTGTCGTCCCGCTCCTCGGGCAGTACCTCTCCCTCGTCGCTCAGTTCCATGAGTGACCCCCCGACCCCGATCTGCCGGTGTGAGCGCTATGGGATCACCCGCAAGGGAGACCGTGTCAAGCTCGACTGTGGAGGCAGTCGCTGCGGGTATGTGACCGAGTCCTCGGAGGCGAGTTGCTCCGAGTCGGAGGACAGTGATGAGGAGTACAGACGGGCCCGGAGTGCCGTCAGAAGGCAGGGAATTGTTGTCCGGAGATAATCTCATTGTCTGTGAGGTGATGAAGGAATAATGTTGATTCTCATCGATCAACTCATGCGCACTGTCAGGATCGGTTACTGTATCCCTGATGGTGTGCTGGCAGCGTGACGCGGAGCAGACTACTCATTTTGGTTTGGGACCGGACCGATTTATACTAAAATGAACCGTATAACATGTTGCCCCTGGGACGGGGCAACGTGGACCACAGATCTGGCACTCGAAGAGGCTCACAGAAAACCCACAAAAAGAAAAGAAAAGAAAAAGAGAGAGAAGGTCAGGGACAGTGCCAGACTCTGGGCTCTGCTACGGACGAGCCGGTCTCGCTTCGCAGTGGAGGTGATGGTTGGAGGGAGGCGAGGAGTGTCCTCGTCGAAGGGGGGTGAAAAAGAGACAGTAGGTGGGGATTGAAGAAAGAGGAAAGAAAGTTGAGGTTGTTGTGAGAGTGGTGGTCAGGAGTGAACAACGGAAATATCCGCTCTCTACTAGAAACGGCAGTATAGCCTGGCGGATGGAACGACGATAGGATGAGTGGTCCCGGCAAGGCCTTACCACCAATGTCCTGACAAGTCCTACATTGATGAGCCGGGGCATGAATGATGAAGTGATGATTTGATGGTCTAACTTATCAATGCCTACTTTATGACTGCAATCGATGGTGCGCGTGACCATTTGTAGGAGGTATCGCTTGGTAGTTGAGATGAGTGGAGGAGATTATATAAGAAAATGCGAAAACAACTAGCACCGAGTATGTACGGCAATCCGGTGGTGGTACAGTACCTTGATGGCTTCCACAAACAGCCACAAAAATTCGACACCTAATGTGAAATACAGTACTGTGTGGTGTAGTGACTTCATTGGGGCGGCCAGGGCCATTTCCTCAAGGCACTAACTTTTTGAACAGTCTCGCCTGGCGAATTGCAGCTCCAGTTTTGTGCCAGGTTTGCTCATCTGGACGGTCAGCCCTACAGCCCTGAGCGAGGTCCAGAAATTACCTCATAATGCATAGCGAACCAGGACCCCTTAGTCTTCCTTTGGTAGGGAGTACGAGGCTTTCTTTTAGTCACAACAATGAAGAAGCTTTGGTTCATTAATTAATGATAATAATTATAATAATAATAATAATAGTGGGAAAATATGATAATCATAAATAACACATTCAATAAGGGGATGCGAGGAAGCATTCCGATATTCCGAGAATGATGATGGATCCACGAACCATGAATTGAGAACTTGGAAGATTGTTGCCTGATACGGTGGCTGAACTGGTGCCGGAACAGAAGAAGCAGGCCAATTGACGGCGGACGGGCACGTTTGTTTCTATTCTTGCCGAGTTCAGCCCTACGCCATGGTTTTTATCCACTCTTCTTCCACTCTTCTTCCACTGCTCTTCCACTGCTCTTCCACTAGTACGACTAATTCCATCAGCCGGTTCAACACTCGGGTTTTCCCACCAAAACTGACTTGATTACTATCACCGAGCAATGGACATCGCTTATGGTCAATCTACCAAACCTGCTTGGTCCAATCCCCGGCAGGCTTGATCGAGAACGGGGCTGCTTGTCGTCCTGCATATCCTGCAGCCTTACGGCCGGTCACTCCCCTCCTTTCTCTCTTTCCATCTCCCTCCCCTCTTTCGGAGAACACCCGACCCATTGAAAGAGATGCTCTGGCTCTTGACTCCTGAGGAACAAGGCGTTCCAGCTGAACCTGGTGGATAACACTACTACGTAGCTGGTCCGTGAGGTTCAGCCTGACCGGGAATTGTCTCCCCCTCCCCACTGATCGACTACTTTCACCTCTGCCCTATGAGGCCGGCCTACCTGGGGACTCGACCACCAATCTGCACGCTTGTTTTTCGCCTGCATTCTATCATTCCGTCCGTCTCTTCTTCTACTCTTTCCTTTCCTTCCCTTCCCTTCCCTTCCCTTCCCTTCCCACCTTTCCTCTTCTTGCTTTCCTGCCCACCCCTCCGACCCTTCTTCTCGGTCATGCTACCATCCCTCAGTGCTCTTTCCCCTGTGGCTTCACCAATTTTTGTTTAACCTTGACGGTTCTGCTTTTCGCCTGTAACCTTCTTGTTCTTCATCTTCAATATCCCCCGTGATGGAAGAGATCGGCTCGAAGAGCTCTCAAGCAATTATTCATTAACGGTCGCGGTCTCGGTTTATGGACCCCTCGCATTGGAGTACTGTTGTCCTCTGTGCGTTACCGAAAACAACTTAGAATGCCGGGTTGTGCTTTCTCGGCAGTGTCGACTTTTCTTGATCTTTGCATTCGCTTATGATTGAGTCCTTTCTGTGAACATGCTCCTGGGTAGCCTAAACAGTCAGGATTCTTTCATTCAATCATACTGCAGGCCACCGTTGTCAATCGCACCGAAGTTACTGTCAGCTGTCGCGTCGTGCGACTAGCTACCATTCTTTGATCGGTTTATCGTCTGCCTTCCTTCCACACATATCGCAGCGCACGCAGGACGTTAGATCCGCCATTTTGTTCTGGACCACCTACGTCTTTCAATTAATTACCCACTACCATAATACTCAGTCATCATGTGCTACAAACTCGTGGAGCGATTCGCAGCTTGCCGGTGTCTCTACTTCCAGCACGCGGTTGACCCGTGTGAAGCCTACGGTCAGCGCGGCCACTCGGTTCAGGAAAAAGTCGTCCTGGTCGGATACGCCTGCGCTCAACACTCAATCAAATTCAACAGCGGCATTGCAAGCGACCTAAGAACGCCTCAGGACTCAGGGTATTCCAGTAGCAAGAGTTGAATCCGGCAGGGTATGATGGACATCCATAGGATGGCAACTTCCACTCTGGGCTCAGCAGCTGCCCTCAAGGATGTTGTCCTTGACGCGTCTTACCATCTATCAGGCTGCGACCTTCATCTCTACTCCTTTAAAGTTCGATTCAGTCAGGATTTGGCAGGCTCCTCCCAAACTTGTGTCTTTGGAAGATACTCTTAGTTTTTCGATATTTTGACGTGCCGGGGTGGCTGCGCTCTCCGGTCGCTTCACCCACCTAATGTCTTCGTTTATAAACTTCGTTTCCCGTCGCTTCATTGGTTCTGTACACGTTCGTGCATGCAGACAAGCTCATCCAGAATTAGCATAGCGAAGCGGTTTTTGTTGTGCTGCTGTGTTGCATCACTATGGCATGAGCGAGACGCATTGTGGCTAAGGGCTCTTTCATTGCCTATATGATGAGATTTTCATTTTAGAGGAGGAGTCGTGGAAGTGGAATCCTACCACTTGAGGAAGCGTATCAGGAATACGTTAATGGGGCCGGCATTAATCGCTCGGTACTTTTCTTGTATACTAAATACTACGTACCTGTTTTTGGCTCGAACATTCAGCTAGTATAATACACTAATGGGTATCACGTACTTCATTCTTCTGCATTTCTCTGCTCTAGAACTTTTGTCAACAATAGAATAGTGGTTTGGAAGTATATAAGAAATAGCACACAGCTGCAACTTTCATGGTGTTTACCTCTTAGTAATCAGCCTTTTTCGACTACGGAACATCGAAATTCCGGCGTGTCTCTATCGATTGTCTCGACTGTGATCGATAAGCAACGAAGCATCCTGAACTTTCCGAATCCCTTGCGACTATCGATCTCCCATTGCGCTGTCGTCTCGATCAACCACACCAGCACCGAACCACGCATTACAGTGTTAGCACCACGAACCGCAACCTCCCGACCACAGTGAGCACACGGTGCTGAAGTTACAGCATCCAACTGTGCTTCAGCATTGAGACCGGGGGCAGCCAGCGTGAAGGATGTCGCAATTACAAGAGGACCCCGCCACGGTGCTCGAACAATTCGTGCACGATGTGGCCAACCTGCCCGCCGAAATCAATCACCTGATGGAGGAGATTCAAGCCAAAGACAAGACCATCCAAGAATGCCGGACGACCATTAACTCGCGCGACACCAGTCTGCAGAAATTCATCAAGCTCAACGGCAGCCTGACGCCCAACCCGAAGGAGGAGCAATACAGCAAGACCATCCTCCAGAATCTCGACAAATCGCAACTCCTGCAAGACGAGAAGATCCAGCTCAGCGAAAAGGCCTGCGTCCTCCTGGACCGACAGATCAAGCGCCTGGACATCGCGATCCACAAACTCCAAAGCAACGGCATGCTCTCGAACGACCCCCCGCTCCCTTCCCTCTTCAACAACAAAGACCAATACCGCGACCCCCCGCGCATCTTCTTCCCGGACGCCACCGTTGACGCCGCCGCGGCCGCCGCTGCATCCTCATCCCCGACCGCACACGCCACCAACGGCGGCGGCGGCGGGTCCGCCTCCGCCTCCGGCGGCGCGGCGAACCTCATCCTGGGCGCAACCCAACGCCTGAACCAGTCCCTCGGCCGGAACGCCACGACCGCCGCCGCGGCCGCCGCCATGCTGAGCTCCCCGTCCGCCGCGCGCTCCTCCGCCCCCGCCACCCCGTCGGGCACCGTGCACTTCCAGCAGCGGCACCAGCGCGAATCCTCCGCCGGCGCCGTCGAGAACAAGCGCCGCCGGCTGAACGCCTCTCTGGGCACCCTCCCCGCCGCGTCCTCCAACCTCCGTCAATCCTCGCTGGGGCCCGGTACCCCGAAAGGCGGGGGCACGCCCGCCTCCAGCCGCGCCGGCAGCGCCGGGCCCCGCAGCTCCGCCTCGACCACGAAGAAGGCCCTCACGAAGAAGGTCGCGCCGCACCAGCAGCTCAAGAAACTCAAGACCGGCAGCGGAGGCGGCGGCGGTGGCGGCGGTGGCAGCAGCGGGTTGAACGGGAAACACAGCAAGCGATCCTCCAGCGCCAGCGGCCGCCTCAAAATCACCAAGAAATCCTCCCCTTCGTCCTCGGCGACTGGGCCCGGTGGTCATGGTGGTGGTGAAGACGACGAGGACGATTCCCTGCTCAGCAGCGCCGACATGTCGGACTCGGAACATGCCGACCTCCGCGGTGGCGCCGGGGTGGGCGGCGGCGGCGGGGAGAACGATCTGGACGAGGAGGAGGACGAGGATGAGGGCAACGAGGATACCAAGGTGTATTGCACGTGTCGCAGCGTCAGCCATGGTGACATGGTGGCGTGCGACAACGAGGATTGCGAGTTCGAGTGGTTCCATTGGAAGTGTGTCGGGTTGACCCGGGAGCCCGTGGGCAAGTGGTATTGTCCGCAGTGTTCGGCGAAATTGGGGGCGTGATTTTTCTTTTTTTTCTTGGAGGCTGCTTTCGGTGTTTGGGTGTTGTCTTTATACCCTTTTACTTTCTTAGTTAGTCAATAAGTCGTGGAGTTAGGTCTAGTAGCCCTTGATGGAATATGTGATTAGTTCCGTGGGTTTGGAGGTGTTATGCTTATTGATGTGGTCTTAAGCGGCAACATGCATCAAGCGGTGGTGGTATGCTTGACTACATACCTGGGATCGAATCAAGCTGATCTACAATTCCGGGCCGGGGTCTTAGTATTATGGGCTGCAAACCTAGGGATAAATGCATCCATCCCGGTATTCAGCGGCCTCACCTAGAGATACGAAGAGAGATGTAGTGGGTAGTGGGTACTATAAACATGTAGATAGGATTGATTCTTATCCCTCGACTTCTTTTGCCTCGAATTTATATTCGGAGTATAGAACCTCTTGTTGATGAACAAAAGACAAAAAGACAGACCATGCATCGACATATGACTCTGGCCCCCTCGTCCCACACCCACTATCAGACACTGGAGTGTGGAGACACAAGCAGAAAAGTAACAATTAACACAAAAGACGCCATCGCTATGCAGAAGCAAAAGCAAAACAAGATCATCGCCCAGCCTCCGCGTAAGAGCTAGGTGTCCCCTTTCTTTATGGATGCGCAAAAAGACTGGTATACAGTAAGTAAGTCGGGTAAGGTATAATAAAAAGTGGTTTGATAAATGATGTGTCGGTGGGGGAATAATCCAAGAACAGAAATGAAAAGAAAAAAAATGGGAGGTGAAGGAAAAGGAGGTAAGAGACATAGATCGAAGTTAAGCCATGCACACGGGAGAGATGGAAGATTAACCGATCACTGCTTTATTTTCACACACTCTCTCTTCTCTCAAAATCCCAGGGCTTTTTCTAACCAGGGATCGAAGTATTCGCAACTTTCCGGGCTGACAGCTCCACCGGGCGCGCAGAGCTTGAAGACCGGACAATGACCGCACGGGGCTTCTGTCATGCCGTTGCGGACGAGACGGTCGTCGATGCCGGAGTCCTCGCCGGGGGGCTTGCGCGCCTGCTGCGACTTGACCTGTGCGGGGGTCTTGACGGAGCGGTAGACCTCGCCGTTGTTGAGGGCGACCAGCTTGTTGTCGTAGCAGAGCATCTCCAGGAGCTGGGTGATGCTCTCCTCGCCCAGTCGGACGGGGGTGATGCCGCTGGCGTTGACGGCGGCCGTCAGCTCGGGGATGGTCGGGTAGCCCTGATACCCGGCGGGGAAGGGGATGTATTCCTTTTGCGGTTGGGCGTCGGTTTCGTGCGGGTTGTGACTGATGATCCCATTCCCGTCGGCGGTCTTGAGGCGCTTGTTGTTGCGATGGTGGACGGCGGGCACCTCGTACCAGCTCTTCTGGCTGACCTTCCACTCGATGAACCCGGCGACGCTGTTGATGAAGTTCTCGTCCAGCACGCCGTCCGTGAACCAGGCCCCGCCCGTCACGTCCTCGCTGGGGGCCAAGCCCGCCAGCATGTACATCTTCCGGCTGGGGAACTTGACATTGTGCACGCTCTTGATGTAGTTCTTCCCTTCGAGCGACTTCAGGCACCGGTCCAGGATTGACTTGTGCAGGTTCGTGCGCGTGCCGATCGCGCGTACCCAGATGCCGGACCGCCCGGTCGAGTGGATGACATTGTAGACTAAACTCTCGTCGGGGCTGAGATTCTGCAGTCTGCGGGCGGTTCGTTCGTGTTAGTTTCGAATTCAATTGCCGGATTTGGGAGGGCTCATACTTCTCTGCATCCTCCCGGGAGATAATCTTCCACGCCAATCGATCATTCTTTCCCTGGAGCAGGCGGAACAGTTTCTGGTCGACGAGCGATTGAGTGCATTGCAGGAGGAGGGCGAGGTCATTCTTGGGGACGATCCCCAGTCCGAGAAGATCTTGCTGGTAGAAGAGATGGTCGGACGGGAAGTTTCTCAAGCAGGCGTCGTAGAGTCGGGCGCAAAGCTCGCTCACTGAAGAGCCAGCTGAGGAGGCCATTGTTTGCGGCGGTTTCAATCTGATTTCGGGGTATTGGGGAGTGGGAGAGGGTTGTAGTTCGTGGCGGTGGGCGCGGCGGGGAAAAGGTGAGGGGGAGATCTTGTCCGAAATGTCTCACACACTGTGTTGGAAGGAAACTATCACCGGAATGGCTTATGGAAGGGCATGATCAGAAGCGCGCGCCGGGGGTTTTTGTTTTTGGACTGGTTGAAGAAAGGTGGGCGGGGAGAGGTTCAATTCAAGTCCCCAACTGTGAAAAGCTAGCTTTCAATAATAAGTACCAAGTAGTAACTGGAAGGAATGAGCGCAAAAGAACAATTCGATGACGGCGGGAAAAAGAAGATGTTTTTGGGCGGCCTTTCTTTCTCTTTCGGGCTTGGCCTCACATGCATGAAGGCCTGAGGCTTCAGGCTAACACTAACACAAGTGACAGCTGTTTCTGCCTTGTTGTGGCCTGAGGCTGTGCGTACGTACTGTAACGGAAATTTCGAGAAGCTCCCGGCAGAGCTCAGGCCGTAGTTTAAACTGGCACTGGCTCCCCCGGCGGCTCTCAACTCCCTCCTCCTCCCTCAGAACCATCATCCCTCATTTCTTCCACCCTCACTTCT